AAATAAAATACTTGAATCTGGCCTAAATCTAAGGTGAGAGGAAAAAGGATGTTCATCAGGAGGCATGCATAAAATAGATGCATGTGTTATAATAGATATTAAGGTAATATGAGTTAACATTGTTAAATATTTACTGAGAAGATTAATGTAAGGATTTATTCACAGAAATCTAAAATTCAAAAATCTTTTTATGTAGTAATCATCATAGTCCCCTCCCCGTTTGTTAATCCAGTCATAGAAAATTGCATGCAGTTCTGAGAAGCACATTTCATCAGGCAGGCAGGCATACAGATGTGTGAAACTCACAAGGATGATGCAGTGCTTAGAGTATCTGATACAGTACTTGGCCGGGGCTCGAATGCTAAGCATGTGGAGCCCAAAGAAAGGAAGATACTGAGAGGGTCATCATGTTTTTCCTTTAAATATTGGAAGGACTGACAAACAGAAGGGAGATCGGACTTATATTGTATGCCCTAAGGGAAAAATAAGGGGCAATGGAAAAGGCCCTTGTGAGTCAATATTAGGAAAAGGTATTTAAATCATCTGAGCCCTTGGAATTTCTAATCAGGGAGGTGGTTATGGCTTCTTCATCACTAAAGTCTGTGAACCTAGAAAAAGAAGGAATTTTTATTGAAATGTCCATAGAATGTTCTGAAAAATCGTATTTGTTTTTATAATATCTGCATTCATCTCTTTTAACTTGGGTGTTTAACAACCAGTGATGTGTAATCCAAGGGACTTCTCAAAAAAAATTCTGTCTTATTTACTTTTAAAGTCTTTGTAAAATAAATATGTCAATGGTTGTGTTTTTCATGTACAAATTAACTCAAGTCCAAAAAATGTTGAATAATTACAAGTAGATGGGTTAGTATCTTTTGGTAATTATAACAACAAAATGTTTAAGGCAAGTTAACTTTAATAAAGAAAAGAGATTTATTTGCTTCATAGTTTGGGAAGCTAGAAGTTCAAACTGTGTGGTGCAGCCTCTGGCGAGAACCCTCCCTTGATTGCATCTCCTCCTGGCAGAGGCATGTATAGAGGAAGGGGTCACATCTTGAAACAGATGTGGAGAGACTAGGTGGGGCTAGGCTCAGGTTTATAGCAACCTTCTTTGGAGAAGTAACCGGACTTCTACATGAAATACCTTCATCCTTCTAAAGGATGCCGCTAAATAACTTAAGAAATTTCAACTAGAACCCACTTCTCGACGGTTCTAAGGCATTTCACCTAGTGCCCTACTGAGGAAACCAATCACATTCAAACTTTAGAGATAAGAGTTCTGTTTAGAACATGGGGCTTTTCACTGACAAAGATGAAACTTTCAACATGTGTCTCTTGACCTTCATGGTCTAGCGTACCACTCAGAAGTCTCCCTAATGATGATTAAGATAGTTGATAAATGTAAGTTCACTGGGCACCATCAAAGGTCAGGTCACTGTCCTATGACTATGGCAGTACTTCATGAGTTCACATGCTTTGAGTTCACTCCAGAAGGGGAGGAAGTTTCAGAGACTCTTTCTCTAAGGATCTATGTGATACTGTAATCTTCTTAATGCCTAGGTGGCACTTTCCCACTAAATCTCTCCCCAGTTTCCATACTGTGGGAGAGAGAAAGAAAACTACGGGACTCAAGAAATACCATTGAGCTCGTGTGGGCTTTGGTGTGTCACTGACTTTGTTTTCTTCATCTTGGTGCTGGTCAACTATGGTATCAGTCCCTCCCACAAAATATCTGACTCAGTGTAGCACTAGTGAACTGTTCACATCCCCATGGTGAGCATTTAAAGTGATGTAAGTATCAGCAAGAAGATGAATTATTTCAAGGGTCCTTTTAGCCCTTGAGTTTATCTCGAGTTTAATATTAATCAGATATACTGATGTTGGAAATAATATTGGTCTTTCTTCATTTATTGCTCAGAAAGTTGAGAGACAAAGCCTTACACCGAGGATTTTTTGGTGGGCTAGATTAAGCAATTCAGGTAATTGGGCACAATGAATATAACATTCGTTGTGTCTAAATCAGAACTAGGCTTAAATCTCATGCCTTAAATGTGATCTGTTTCAACCAGTAGAGACTTTCCTAAAGAGTTCTATCTTTGGTCATCCTTCTTCTCTAAGCACAGGCCTGCTATGTGGAAATCTCCAACATGCAGAAGCTCACTCCATGATTACAGTTCTGCTACATCACAAAAATTCACTGGGCTCTGCGAGGCCAGGATAATGAATGTCTTGAAGTATTGAAGCAGCTGGTGCCAATATCTGCATAGGCTAACTTATGCATATAGATTAATGAAAATAATTACACACACATGCAAGCACATGCGCATGCACATCCACATCTGTTAAGCCTGGTTTGCATGATGTTCAGGAATAGTCAGGTGGCTTTAAAATGTGACTATCTGAGCTCCTGAAGTGGAGAGAAAGTAAACTGGCAGAGAAATAAGTATGCATTTTGTTTTTTACTACATATTAAATTGTTCTTGGAGTTAACCGGTAGCGTTCCTTGATCACCTAATAAATAAAAACCTTTTTCCCATAGCTTCCTTTACTTATGAGATCTCAGTACACTGACAGAATGCTGATTGATTATAGAAAAGATTTTGAAAAACGTTCATTTTTAATTTAATTTTTAAGAGTATCTCTATTTAACACGGAAGGGCCTAAAATATGTGTGTAAACCAAATGTCGATACATTTGTAGGAGTTTCGTGCTATGATTCCTTCACTGCATATGGTAACTACATGTGGTTAGCCACACTTGGTATAACTCAAGGCAGCTTGATATATTCTGGGATTTATTACAATATAAATGACAAAGCAGAAAAGAATGCTCAGACAATTGGATTACTCCATTGACTGAGTGTTCCAATACTGTGTCTATTTTTGTCAAGGCAATGGTGGCTCCTGCTGTGGAATGCCGAATGGAATATTCCATTGTGGGGCATGGGGAGAACTTGCATTAAGGAAATTAAAACCTGATCATTTAGTTTTTAATTCACCTTTCCCAATGCAGGAGCTTGTCAATAGTTTGTAAAAGAAATTATGATAACTTTTGGCATATAGTTAGCATAAGAGTATCGTTCTTAACTATTTATTCAGTGTCTATCATTGGACCTGTGACTTCATTCATGAAAACAATGAGGTATTTTCTTATTTTTATGCTGGACCTTGACTTGTTTGAAATATGAACATTGTACCGTAAGCATTAATATACACGATATGGCAATGAATTCACACAATCCGAGAAAGACCATTTCCTGATGGGGAACTGTTATTCATTCCAGAAAAGAGAAGGCTGAGAGGTAGGTGTCTTTAAGGACATGAAGAGATTGAATTTAGAAAGAATGGAAGCCAGCTGTTCTTTCTCTCCACAGGGAACAAGAGAAAATGGGATTAGACAACAGCATGAGGGATTTGGAATAGAAATAAGAATTTCCTGATTATGTAGACTCTCAAACAGTAAAATGTGCTTTGGAGGAAGTATGTGGACATCAGTTTATTTTGATGCCTTCAGAAAACAGAAAGGCACATTTTCACCATTTGGGCTCATATGTGTGAAGAGCAGGAGACCAGATGATACATGGTCAGGATTCTCTTCATCTATGAGCAGAATCTAAAAATGGGACATGGTGAACAAGGAGCAGCAGCTATTTTCAAATAGTAGTTATTGTCTGATGTCAACTTTTCTCATGGGGACAGACTGGCAAATTTCACCTGTACTGGAAATGCTAAACTGAGTGGAATGTCATGAAATAAGGTAGGTGGGAACCAAGCATTGCAGAGCACAATGCACTCTTGTATCTTCTCCTCCAACTGCCATTTCTGTTCTTGAAAGGCAGGATGCCCTTCCTAGTTCAACATACATATGCTTATCTTTCTAAGAATGTTGTTAGGGTTCCTGTGAAACTGAGTGAGGGAGCTTAGAATATTGTTTTGTGTGTGTGTGTGTGTGTGTGTGTGTGTGTGTGTGTGTATGTACACATGCGTGCATGTGTACATGTTTGCATTATATGTATGTATGTGGATTTCATTTAACCAAAAGAATCGATAGTGTTCACATTTGATCATTAGTAGAAATATTTGAATATATGGATTCAATTGGCCCAAATTGAGTTCTTGGTTTTAAAAAACTGCCATCATGATTGGTGCTGGTTTTGCCCTGATTTGAAGAAAATTTTATATCCTTAGTTTATCATAGCAGAAAGAGTATTGTGTTACAATCAGAAACTGAATTTGCTCATATCTGAGTCATGATCTAATTGATCTGGACAACTCAGTGACTAAGTAGTAATTTGCATTTTGGCCAATAAAAAAATGAAATGAAGCTATGTTAGAAGATGATTTAAAATGTTCTCCTTTTGGTCCTAATCTGCTATCAACAACCAATGGCAAGGATTTTGTTTTATTTTTAGTATTTATTTATGTATTTGTTGTTCTGGAGGTTGAACGTAGGGCACATGTGAAGCGAGTTCTTTACCACTGAGTTCCATCCATTTCTCCCCCTTTTTAGTGTTTCATTTCAAGACAGTGTTTCATAGTTGTCCAAACTGGCCTTGAGCTCACTCTGTAGCCCAGGAAGGCCTTGAACTTGCAATCCTCCCACCTCAGTCTCTCTAGTAGCTAGGATTACGGGCCTGTGGCCTCAGGCTTGACTTCTGAGCTCATTTTAATATCATAACCCCACAGATCAATACTTTCCATTTTAGCTGCTTCTTTAAACCTCCATGGGGGATTTTAAAAAATTCCAATGCCCAGAATATTTTGAGAGGAGACCAAGGTGTCAGTATTTTTAAAATACCCCAGGTGGTTACCATGCGAACTCAAGCTTTAGGCCCTGGGCAGCAAGGACCTGAAATAACTATATTCATGTTGCTCATTTTGGATGCAAGGATTATGTCTGTGACATTTCCTGTTGCATAGCTAAGACCTAAGAAAGTACTTGGTCCACAGTATGTGTCCGGTAGTTAATATTTTAATAAAATTTGATTAATCCTTAACCAATACAGGGCTACTCAAATTTTCTGTTGGCTTGCATCATTCTCATTTTGCCCTCACCCACTAAGTAAGTGCTCAGTTTTCTTCTACTGTGACTGTGTAAATATCAAAGCGAAATTATTGGTCATCCTGTTTGGTGACATCTATCCTTGGGATGAATGTTAGGAAATCATCCATGACACTCCAGACAAGGAACCCTTAAGAATCCAAAGACATGTCTCTTACATGGCACCATGCCTCAGGTGAGAACAAGTGAAGCTACAAATTTCTAAGCATCCAGGTGTGCCTTTAATTCAGCAGGTATTGAGGAGCACTATGATTGGCTGCGGCAGACTTTCTCAACCAAAACTGTATGCTAGTTTCCTGGGTATCTTTACATATAATGAATGAATTTCTTCCCTTTGTATAGAGTACAGCATTCGGTAGATTTAATCCATAAGATCACTGAGAAAACTTGTCACACAGTCATGTTTCTGTGCTCTGTGGTTCAGATGAAAGACCCTACTTTGAAAAGCTTCAAGTGTGGAGGATGAAATGACCAGCAAAACAGAGCTCACCTTCTAGAACTAGACTGGACTGTATCAATGAGATGTGTTTTGTAGCTCTGTTGCCTATAAGGTAACTGGTGGGCACATGTGTCTATTAAGTATTTGAGATGCAATTGGTACAATCGAGGAGATGAAATTAATTCAATAATAACCCATGTAAGTTGAAAGAGCCACCTATAAGGAATGGTTACCGTGTTGAACAACGCAGCTTTTGAAGTCATCACAATACTCAGTGTAAGAGCTAACAAAGGGTAAGTCCAGGTGCCATGAAAGCATGGTGGTGAGGAAGCTGACATGCTAGTGGTGATGGTTGGAGTGAAGATGTCTGGGAGGAAATGCCTGCTGGGATGAGACTCAAAGGACAAGTGATAGACTCTGGAAAATATGGTGAAGAAAAGGCTAAGAAGCTCACATGTGCGAGGAAACTGAGAAGGTACAGGGCACGGTGAGAGACGGATGCAAAGACGGATGGCATGTGCCTATGAAGGCTTGGGGAAATAGGAGCTCGGTGAGTCCACAGAGCACTGTTGTAGCCAGGGGCCAGGAGATGATACCCACACTATCTCAGGGGTGGCAGGAAGTGGTTAAGCGTTTGAAACCTTGGAATGCCGTGGTCCTGTTTGTGGTTTGCAGACTTCTCTGGTTGCCACTTGGCAGTGTGGAGGGAAATACTGGAGGAATGATGCAATAATCCAGATGACGGAGGAGCACTGCTACCACAGCAGCACAGACGGTGGAACTAAGTATCTGCATAGAAGAAGGAAACATGTCGAAAGGATCATTGGACTCTGAGTCATGGGTGGTAGAGAGAGAAGGTGGAACCTTTGTCTCTGATTTGAGTAAATGATCATGCCACTTATTTAAAGGTGATATGGGATCATTTAGAAATTGTCTCTATTTAATGAATTAATTTATTTATTGTTTTTTGACACAGGGTTTCCCTGTAGCCCCAGCTTGCCTGGAACTGGCTATGCAGATCAGGCTGACCACAATCTCACAGAGATCTGTCTGTCTTTAACTCCAGAGTACTGAGATTAAAGGTGTGCACTACCACTCCTGGCCCTAACTTTAAATTTTTGATCTCATTAGATATTGGATCCTTATATCCTCAAACTACCTTTGATACATGCATACATAGATACATACATAAGTACATGCATACATACACACATGTGAAAACAAACTATGAGAGTGTTCTTTTCCAATAAATCACAAGTTCACCAATGGTGCAATAGTTCCTTTATTGGGAGTCAGGGACACATGACAGTCTCATAAAATATCAACAAAGTCACACTTCCTGCTTAACTATTCTTAAAAGAAACACCTCGTTTATTTATAAACTCAGTAAGAACAGTTTATGGTATGACCAACAAGCATTTTTGAAAACAAGACAGCCAGAGCCACGAAGAGAATTATCTGTGACATTATCAGACATACAAATGGAAATTTACAACAGCTACAGATTTAGGTACCTCAAAAATGTAGGTGTCTGTCCTTTAGTATGCCCAGCCTTCAAGACAGAATTACACAGAGTGTATGTGTTATACTTTTTAAAATCATTGCTAAATGTCAACAAAGGAGAAGCAGCTGGAAAGGAAGAGTGGGATTTCATAGTTTTGGCTTTCTGTGGTCAAAGCATTCTAGAAGCCGTAACAGGATAAATGGGAATTATAACAGAAAATTAATTTTTTAAAGACTTACGTGTTACTGGAAAAGTCATGGATAAACATCCCTACAGAAGCATTTGCAAATGTCTACTGTGCATCAAGTAGATTGAGAAGCAACTGGAATGTTTGATCTGTGCAGGTAAATGAAGAATTTCACGACTGGAGGATATCATTAAAGATAAAGTACACATGAAACTTTGGAAACTTTGTGCTCTTTAGGGACAGAGCATTGACAACTTCTAGACCTAAAGATGTTGGTTCAGAATTAGCTGTATTTCACATTGAAGTGGGCTGCCAAGGAGAGATGGGATTGAAGCCAATTCTCCCTGATCTGCCACATACCTTAATCAAATTCAAGTTCTCACTTCTTTTGGGAAGAGTAAAGTGGTTCAAGAGCCACTGAAAGGGAACAGAGGACCAGTTTCTGGTTCTTACTCTGCCACATCCAAACATGGCTTTTTTATAAATCACTCTGTTTATAGGCTATCAATTTATCTTCCCTGTCAAAAGGATAGTAAAATAGTGAACTTAAACCCATCTCCTTTGTATTCTCAGAACTCCGAGGCTTCATACAGAACTAAGCAGAAAAATGCCATCATGTCTAGCAAAAATAAAAAAAAAAATAACTAAAATGCTGGCAAGCTCTACTCCCCTAAATTGCCATTTTTCTATCACAAAAATGCATTTTATCATTCTAGTGTCATGTAACATAAGAAGGAAAAGGGCCAAAGTCACAAGTAAGTAGAAGAGCAACTGGTTTCCTACAGACGGATATTAAGGAATGGAAGGAAAGTAAATGTATTATTAGCACTGATCACAAATTATGGCTTGGTCTTTCAGCTCTTTAGCATTGCCATCATGACCTTGAACGTGAGCCTCTGTACACAGCACCGTGTCCAGTCACCTAACGTCATCCAACCTCAGTTCTATTGCCTGTGACGTGGGGATACTAATATCTAATTTTCCGGATGTCTACATGCAAAATGCTTCCTCTGTACTAACAACTCAGTAAATACCAACTATGAACAAAAACTCATGAGCTCCCTCTCCACCTGTATTAATAATCACCCTCACTGTGCTTTAATGATAAAGAAAAATGGCTCTCATTCTAGGTAACACCTGGGGTGGGAGGAACAGAAGTATGTGTGTACACCGTCTTTACTAGGCTCTTATAGAGAGAGGTGCTAAATATTGGGTGAAATCAAATTGATATGAGTATTTGTAATCTCCAAAACTTACAATGTGGATTTCCTCTGTCATGGCTGTGCTCACTACTATGCTGACCTAAGGGTCTCTTTTATCCTACCTTCCCTTTTATCTAAAATTTTGACATCCGTTAAGGTTTTTCTCCTTTTCTCTCTTGAGAACATTCTTCCTTAAGCAAGCCAGCTTTGCATGTTTGTGGTCGCCACCTCTGATCTAATTTTCTCTTTCCTTTCAGTAGATGCTTCATCAGCTACTGATACAAATTGTCACTGCCATTTCAAAAGCATACCTTTGTCCAGCCAGATTTAGTTCTTTGAAGCAGCTGGCGTGTGTCACACAGCCAAGCTTGCTACTCAGAGACAGGTGGCATAATGTGGCATTTCTGTGCTCTAGTAAGCGTCTCTCCCAGTCTCTCCCTGTGGATCTCCTGTAACTGCTTTTTGTCTTCCCAAGAACTTTTCATTCTCTAGTAACTCTTAGGAATAAACACTGTGTTAACAAAACCATTCTTCTCAGAAAATTCAGCCCCATAACATTTGTGCAAAGTTAGAGTTTACCCTGGTGCATGAATAAGCACAGCCATATGAGGATCAAAACTGAACAGCACAGGAATTTAAGTACAAACAGAGGAATGCACAGGAGGAAGGGGAAGTTCTTGGCTCCTGAGAGGTTTGGGCTTTTCTGTTTCTTGCAAAGACTGCTATTGGCTGAAACTGCACCATGTGGGTGTGCTGCTGCTGGGCAGGAGAAAAGTCTTCAGATGGTCACTGTCTTTGTTTCAACTTCACAGTTGGCATGAGAATTCATCAGTCTAGCAGTTTCTGCAGTCCTTGTCCTTTCCCTGGGAAGACATTCCTGAGGTGGGGGGGCTATAGGACCGGATGAAAGGAACATCAACACAACTAAACAAATAATAGAACATGTCACGGAAAGTTATCACACTGACTTTGTAATAAAAATGAATATGTGGTACCTTATGGACCATGCTGTATCTAACTACAGCTAAAATATTATATCACTTGAACAAAGAATGTAGGCTTTCTTTTATTGTTCATCTCGCTCGAGAATCAGTCCATCAGTGACCTTGCCTCAGTGTGTGTGAGAGAGCCCTACTGAGCAGACTGCTGCTCCGGAAGGAAAGCTGCAGGTTTATCCTTACTGAAACAGGACACACAGGGAGTGAACAAAAGGCCACAGGACGCAGGACACCTTCAAATAAATCCCAGGACTGAAAGTAAGCTAAGTTAATTGTGGGTGCCTAACTACTAGCAAGGCAGGAGCCAATGAAGGCACTGGAATTATCAGCTGTTCATTGTGGACCCCTTGAATTTGTCTTAGTATTTCCAGTGCCTGATACTTAGCTTCGTACATGGAACTACTGAAAGAGAGAAGAGAAAAAGAGAGGAAGGACTGGAGGAGGGAGGAAGGGAAGGAAGGAAAGGGGGAGAAGGGACAGAAGGGAGGGAGAGAGGGAGAGAGGATAGATTATTGAAATACTAGAGCACACAGAAAGAAAATTAGCCAAGTCTGAACATATCCAAGATATGGAGGCTGGGAAAAGCATCCCGCTTAATACAAGAAGGGGTTCCACATTGTGAGTGGCTTTAGAAATGGGTTAGGGTGGTTTCCAGGTGGTTTTAAACATGTCAGCGTGTCATTTGTGAAGTGTTCTGTTAAGGCAACCACTGTAGGCTCCTGAGGGGAGCACTGCTATCATTCAAATGAATCAAGTGGAACAGGAAATGTGAAACTTGAAGGTGTCAATCCAACGGAGAAAACAAACCATACTACGAGAAATTACAGGATGGCAGAAGGACTAAAGAGGAGGATGTGGCTTAAAATAGAAAGGCAGGCGCTTGTCTGTGTTTCTTCCAAGTTAATGTTGAAGGAAGTAGGCTTGGAACTGGGATCAAGAATTTGTCTCTCCCACTGGCGGCTTTTTTCGCTCCTCAGCTGTTGCTTTTTCTGTTACAGCCCCTTCCTGAATGTGAACTCCAATCTTTAGTGCTTTCTCATCAGGGCAAAATATATTAGTAAATACAGAATTTGGAGGAGGAATAAAACATAACTTTGAAGGGCTGCTGGTGGTACAATTGTACCCTGGATTTACCAGTCCTGACTTTCTTCCTATGCCTCCATCCTTTATGATAGCTTCACCGATTATTACAGCTGTAAAAGAACTGAGAGTCTACCTAACATACCCACTCATTTTTCAGATAGAGATATTTGAGAAGAGTTGTATTAATGTTTCTCTCTTACTCTACAGAAGTTGTTGTGAATGAGATGTACTTTGCAGGTGGATTTTAATGGAACTAAGGCCTTTATCATCAGTCTCTCTCTTATGCCTACACAATAGAAATGCATAAATGAGGTAGGCACATCAAAAGGCATGTACCATGACATATCAGTGTCCTAAATATCATGAGCACACTGGGGATACTAGTTTTCTAGAGAAAGGTAAAAATTATAGAATAACTTAAGGTTAAGTATTATAAATGGGTAATTTATTTTGTGATTACTGATAAGGAGCAGGGGTCACTAAGCTTTGGACATACACATGTAAGATTCATTTGTGAATAAAGTAGGGTACTATTGCATTCAGGAAGTACATTCCATATAATACTTTTATGATTCAAAGAGATAGCTATTGATGGAAAGTCCTTGAACGTATGAGCAGATAAAAACAAACTATACACTGTTTTAGTGTTGCATGAATTTGGCCCACACAAATGACCTTTATATAATATAATCCCCACTGTTAAAGGAAATTTTGAGGAATAGATATACAGTAAATAATTTGTGAACTTTCACATTCCATGTGTTTATTATGAGTTAGTTTACAGATCAGCTTTCTTAGGTCCTGTACCCACTGAATTGAACTAAGTAGTGTATCTTCTATAAATTCAACACAAATCTCTCTTGGAATCCTTTTTGTAGAAGCAAACATTGAGACCTTTGCCTTGCCTTGCCCAGCATTCCTCTGTGATCTGACAGTAATGATGCTACACGTTTGCCTTAACCATCTCTTTACCTACTGTGTACATGGCAAATGCCCAGCACCGGGCTCACCAGCCAACTCACTGTGGTTCTGCCCAAGGGTTTTTCTTAATAGGCAGATCTTCAGGGGTAGCTCCATGGAGGGGGCTCTCCAGTGGAGCCATCAGTAGATCAACGGTATCGTGTTGGGACCCCCAAAGGGAACTGAAGTCAGTGCGTAAATGACTCAAGGAACAGTTTCAGCTACTCACCACGTGACATGCAAAATGGAGGGGAGAGAAAAAAGAACAGAAAAGGAATTGTTTATCATTGTTATTGTTTTGATTACTTTGACTAAATTAAAAACCATTATTTCTGCCTAAGGCCATTTCCCTGGCATTTTACCTCATAGTTCCAACATAAGAAATGGATTTCTTAGGATTAATATTAAATATTCTAAAGTTCTCCATATTTCTAAGCTGTTCAAAGTCAGGATGAAGACCAAATCCATAGAGTTACAAATAGTGTACAAATAATGCTGATGTCCAAGGTGATAATCCTTTAACAAATTATTAACTTTAGCATCTAGGTCGTCCAGCTTGATTCTCATGCAAGAACACAGACTATAAAGGCCTTTTATTCTTATATTAATTAGCAAAGAATTAAAAAAATAAGCTGGCTTAGAAAGTATTCTACTCAGGAGCAATTTCAAATGATGACACATGCCCAAGGGTGGGGGGGTGGGTGACAAACTCAAGTAGGCAACATGTAAAGCGACACGCAACTATATGCACATTAGTATAATTACACATTGCAAATTATATCGGATGTATCTAATATCTAATTTTTTGAAAGCTGATTCCACTTGAGACTTCAATAACAGCATCGACATTTTGCAGGTGGCTCCTTCTGTACACTATCCAAAGGGAATTATTCCTCTAATGTGCTTACAGCCCTCAAGTAAAAAACTGGAGATCTCTTTTAAAGGACCAGTGAACAAGGAACACCGGGAGCAACACCCTGATAAAGAGAAAGGGGAGTGTGCCACCTTAGATGATGCTCATCGTGGTTACTTATCCCATTTCCTCTCTGCACATGGTACTTACTTGCTTCAGGCGATGAGAAACTTAAACATGAGTCATTAAAAATATGTGGGCGAGGCTACGTATACATTGAGACAGCAAACCGAAAAGCTAGGAGTTGACCATTTTTTAAACCGACAGATAAAAGAAATGTGCAACAGAATGGCATGTTATACCTTTGATTGACAACAGAAAGCCTTACATTAAATTCAGCTCCTGTAAGACATACAGTCTGTGAGAGGATGCCAGGAAAACACCACTTTGAGCCTAGCTTTTGTCCTCACCACCCTGTATGAATCAGTCACAAAATGCCTGAAATCTATTTGTGATCTTGGAGAATGAAGCATATTCTTCAAGTTGGTTGGATCCATTTTCTTGATTCCTCCTTAAAGATCCCTGTGCTCATTAGCAGGGTTTACTATTGAATCATTTAATTATCTGTACTTTTGTGCGATGAAATATGTTGCCATATCACGTACTTGCTGCTCACACTTAATGATGCCTCTATAGTTAGCAGTTTCCTTTGTTCTGCTCAGTAAGTGGTTTTAGAAAAGGGGTGGGCTGGGAGGGAGGAGGCTTGGGGTTTGTAAAATAAAATCATACATTCCTGGTGCACATGCAGAACTTGATGCATTTACATGAATTCCATTTTAGAAATTAAGTTGCAATTCCATTTGGACTAGGCCGAGGCACATGTCAGTGACTTCAAATGCAGCCACTTGGCTCTGAGTGTACCTTGAACATCTCTCTAGTGAATTCCCTCTGCAGTGCAATGGGAAAAGGAAGACTTAATTTTTTTTTTAAATCAGCAAGGAATGTCTTTAACAAGGAAGAAGTAAATTATGATAATTACTCTGAATGGTCGGATCCTTGAGCATTACTAATTAGCATTTATTGCCTGGATTATAGAACAATACATGTGAAACCAAACTGTGATTGCTCTTTTACCTTGAAGACTTGAAAAAGGCAATGGAGGAAGAAGTCAGCAGCCACCTTGCTGGTGCAGGCTGCAGTCAGTCTACCTTTCCTCCAGTGTGTTGACTCCCTCACTTTGGAAACACCCATATGGTCCTCAGCATTTCCGGCCCATTCATCTTTTTGTGTTAGGCTCATATTTGCATAGGGTACATAGTTATGGCAGGCCAATGGCAGGAGAAACATTTTGGCTAGCACGCCATGTGAGGACACTGTTGCCTACCAGTTGGGAGAGCCTAGCAAAAAAAGAGACTGAAATTCATTGCTTCATAAAAATTGGGAATTTTCCGGGAGAAATTTTTGACTTAAAAATAGAACAAAGAGTTCAGTTCTTGATGAATAAAATTTTGCATTCTCTTCCTCATTATTAAAAAAATAACAGAAAAGACGGTGCATTTCTGATATAAGGACCATTTATTTATTAATTTAGTTCTTTTTAGAAAGTCACGATAAAATAGGTTCTGAAATTAGAAAACAAAATTAGATGTTAATGAACGCCACTAAATAAATGTCATGCATATAGTTTGGCAACTGAAATTCTTAGCTAAGCCAGTAGGTAGAAAGAGAAAGGGAAAACTGAGCCATTCAGCATTCACGCGCAGTCTCACGGCTTTCCTCCACACCCCATTATAGAGAATGAGGAGAAAAGATCATCCTAAACTAGAAAGCTGATCCTAAATACAGGCACTAGCCTTCCCAGTACCTTCCATAGTTTCCCCACCCCGATCTTTTTTGGTTTGAAAGAATAAGTTTAACTAAATCTGTGAGGAGATTAAATAGGCTGGTGATAAAAATTAATTCTGCTGAATGAGCAAATGTATTCGAATAGCACACATGCAAATAAGATAATACTTTTCTTTCCCTTGGACATGCTAGGCGGATTAGTTTAGAATGTTAAATCTGATTTTATTAGAATATATTAGCAGTGTTTTAATTATTACCAATCAAACGTTTTCCTTCCCTGGGGCTTTATATGTTCCTAACACTTTCTAAATCATCTGCTTTCTTTTTCCTCCTACCAAATCACCAGAGTCTTTTGTTACATTCTTCATGATTTTACTGTATTCAGTGGAAAACTATAAACTTCTTACGTTAAGATATTTTGCCCATAAGATTTGTTCCAGGTGCCGGATTTAAAAATGAGTACTGTTCTCTAGTATATTTTTTAAAAGGTAGAAGAATTAGAGACTTGGGAGTTAAACATTTTCTAATCTTCTATATTTCTCTTTTGGGGAAAAAAATGTTGCAAAGGGGGTTTTGACTGGTTCGTATTTTGGGGTTCCAAAAGCTGTTAAATTTCTAACTGCATTAGTTTTGAACTGGCATTTCTTTGGAAACAGAGGCAAAAAAAAAAAAAAAAAGGAATTTTTTTAAGGGGGGGGAAGTGTGTGGGGGGGGGGCACCTAGTAAAAAATACGGCGAGCCACAATCCCCTGTGAACAAATTTGAAACTGGTTCCCAGGCACCACATCCACCCCTTTACCCCCCCCTTTC